AGGGTCGAAGTAAATTGTTGCATTCGGTTCCATCATAAATCCTCATTCATAACGCTGTTGTTAAAGCATTTATTGAGCATAAGATTCGATGGCATACCTCATTATCAAATAATGTCTATCTCATCCTCTCACAGAAACAGATCTTATTTAAGTGCGTCTTCGTCGTATGGATAATCGATGTAAACGTGGATGGTGGATCATCAAAACCGATAAACAAATGGAACAGTTACGTGGCGCATTGCACGGGAGAGGCATACGTGAAAGACTTCTGCATAGAGTCCTGACCAAAGATACTTACGAGTTCCCTCAGAATCCACCGTGTAAGTTTTTATAATTTTATTTTTCTAAAATTAAGAAGGTTTCATTTCCTTTTTTTTAAGCGTGAGATTAAGAGTTTGAAAACGGAGTGAGTGCGAAATTTTAAAAAAATTCTTGAGAAAGTTTATTGCTTGCTGTAAAAGCGGTCGTTTTAATGTGAAATCGCTTTGTCGCCCATAACCTGCAACGTATTTTAGTGTCGTTATCACCGACGAAATGTGTCCTGACAAAACACCAACTTTATACAGCCACTATCAGGAGGTTATCAGTGCTTATCACATCATTCGAACAAAAAGTTGTTGCTGCCAACGTCCATTGCCATGTAAGTTTATTTATGAATTTACGCAATCATGTACATTCAAAATATTTCACTTTTTTATGTGTTATTATTAGTGTTTTTGCGAATTTTTGTAGCGCTGAGGTAAATTAATTTGTTATTTGAAGGCAATTCCTGGTTCGGCAACAAACCAAGACGATGATACAGAAAGTGAGGATAGTCAAGAGGCGTGGAATCAGGAAGACGATTACGAATCAATTGAGACGAAACCTGAAGATCAAAGATCTCTTAGTGAATACGAAGAATTCAACGCGCTGAAACAACGTTTGCTGGAGATTGAGAGGAATATCGAACGACGCTATTTTCTGCATCGGTACCATGCTGGGTTAGTAAGCTTAATGAATTTTCAGTGAAATGGTTTTAGCTTTTGATTTCAGTNAGTTCATGGATACCTGTTGAACGTGTATTGGGTTTACAAAACGTGGAAGGCGGAACGATTGATTCAGAAAGTACGACTTGTGAGTCGGAATCGAGAAACGACTCTCGTGAAACAAGTACCGCGGGTGATCAACTGGATAATGCGGGCAACATCGTTGTCGATGAGAGTGGTGATACTGAGCTGATGTTGAGATGGCGAAAATATGTCGAAGAGTCAACCACCGGCGGTCAATTGATGTTCGGACTCCAGGTGAGCTTTGCCACGAATACAGGCATTGTTGTGACAGTAATAATCTAGTTAACAAAATGATGAATGTTCAATTGTTTTTAGGCACTCGATTCGGCAATAGCTTGGGAGAAGTCGATAATGAAGGCGAGTTGTCAGATATGCAGAACGAGTGAAAACGAGAGCCAATTGTTGCTGTGTGATGCGTGCGATATGGGATACCATATGTATTGCTTTCGGGTACGGTTCATATCGCTTTTGAATATTGATGGCTTTTCATGGGAGTTTGTGCAAAAGAAAGCTTATTAGAGCATTAGCCTCAGAGAATCGGTACGTTTATAATCGACGAGACGACGATGTCAAATAATTTCAGCCTCGTATCGAGTCAGTGCCCGAAGGGGAATGGTACTGTCCGTTGTGTGTGCAACGAGCATGTCGTAAGAATGTATGTCTGCTGTGTGCACGCCATTCACCTCCACAACCAATGGCAATCTGCTCGAAGTGTTACAACGGTTATCATATCGCTTGCTTTGATCGTTCTCCTGCTGTCACCGACCCCAAACAGTGGACATGCCCGGGTTGCTTGAATGTAAGTCTGCTTCAATGGAACAAGAATATTGTTTTCATTATGTGTGTTGCGAAAAACTAATGAACTCTCTTTGATGTCAATTGCAAACGCTCATCTAATTTCAGGCTGATGGTTCGTCGGTAGAGCTGTCGAACAGTTTGTTGAACGGTAGCGGTGTGGAGCGTAGTCGTGTTGTTGATGATCGGGAAAATCATGCCGAGAAAGAGAATGGAAACCTTCACAATGGCTCACTGCAAGTCAACAACTCTTCTTTATGCGGCGGTGCAGCTAAAAGTGAATCACCGAAGAAACATCATCACCATCATTCTCACAGTGCTCCTAAACGAAAATCAACACCACCCGATTATGACTTCCCACACGATATGATGATTGCTCTTTTTAAGTGAGTCATTTCAATAATCCATATTTATTCAAACGCAATCGTAAACGAGACGTTTATAATGTGAAACACTTCGACAGAGGTCATTCGCAATTTCTGAACTCTCAAAAATGATGCTAATATTAAACTGTCTAAAATGTTATTTGAAGACATCAGCCGATTTCGTTTAATTTTCATCAAATTTACATTCTGCAGTGCAATGGTCGATGAAATGTGGAATCAACCTGAAGCGTTACCATTCCACTATCCAGTTGATCTAAAACTCGTGCCGTTATACAAGAAGATCATCAAACGACCCATCGATTTAACACTGATACGCACGAATATACAAAATAATAAGTAAATTGTTTGACAGTATTGATTTGCTGTCCATTCGTTTCAGTCTTTTTTCTGCTTTGCTGATGAAATCGTTGAAATTCCCTTTTCTTGCCATTATTTGAGTTGTGAAAACTGCTCAGTTTGTTTAATTTTGAGTCAGATCTTGGCAACGATCTGCTTCAACGTTCCGTTTTATGTAGCATCAGAAATCGTTTCGATTAATCTCGTATCCTTAAGCCAGTTGAGTGTTTGAATGAAATTCTAAGTAGATTTTTGTTTTAGGTACACATCTCAAGATGCTTTCCTAGAGGATCTTGATTTAATGTTCGAAAATTGTCGAACTTTCAACGAGGATGAATCCGAGATCGGTAAGGCGGGTATATCATTGCATAAGTTCTACACAAAACGTTGGAAACAATTGAGGTACAACTTCTCGAAGCGACTCAAACGTCTCAAACACCCTCGACTCACCGCACCCACTCCAGTTGCGACCGACTGATCGCTCGATACATTCACACTTACAAAGTTCCATATCCTCTTTGCGTCATTTTATTGTCAATTCCAAATTCAGTTGTACTCTCCAACCTCATTCATTCTCTCCTTTCTGTCATCCTTCTTCTAATTCCCTAACATTGTCACAGATACTCACGATCGTTTCTAAATAGTTTTGCACATATTTTTGTGCCAAAATTTTTGAACAAAAAATTTCATAGTCGAGGATTTGAGTTTCAATTCCTCACCACAAATGTCGCTGTCAATGCAGTCCTGTTCATGACACCAGTAGAATGTAATCACATAATTATTAAGACATGCGACCCAGATCAGATTTTCATTTGATTTAACAGTTTTCCAATCGAATTCTGATATATTGTCTGGAGTCGTAAAGGAAAAATTGGGATGGTGGATAAAGTACTCAGTTAACGGGCACCGTTCTGTATGTAATGCCTTCTTTCTGTGTTCGTTTTTACTTGTCATCACGTGGTATTTTTTTGATGTATCTCATTTGTTATTGTTTTTGAATAATTCTCTTCCTGAATATCGTTACGAGAAGTAATTTTTTGGAATGCACTATGTAAATTCATTTGTCTCAAAATGAGAAAGTATTCAATCGAAAGTTGTTTTAAATCATTGGTAATGAATGATAAAGGCTCGTTGATTGATTGAGTTAAATGTTGATCGTGTCATTTTGCGTGGAATAAATCATTCGAAGTGAGCATATCGCAGTTTGTATTTTTGCTCACTTTCTGATGAATTGTATGGTTGTTATTGTTGTTACTGCTCTTAGAGTGTCGCAGTATAATGCGAATATCTTATTCAAATCGTTCACTCCGTTTGCCGTATTTAATGTTGTTGCTTGTATTATTCATATTAATTATGTTGACGGCGTTTGCTCGTTGAATGTATAGCGGCGGGGTATAATTTGTTCAGCATTGTCCACTGTTTGGTCAGTTGTATTTCTTGATTTTGATTTATTTTGTTAGATTTCACCTTGTGAAATGATATTCTGCTGAATACTATTAGTACTGTTGTGTGTCGACTTTACACTTGTAAATATGAATGTGTTTCTGTGTGTTCTAACAAGTTTGTTTCTTTTCGTACTTTATATTGTGTTTTTGTTAAGTTTTATTCGAAATCACAGCTGATTAATAGATATGGTGCAAAGCCGTAACTATTAAAACCATTTTATTCCTCCTTCAAAATACTCGTCTCAAATCTCGTGATGTTCACAATCGTACCTGGATGTAACGTAACATTTCTACTTCTACAATTCATTATATTGTTATTATTAATTTATTGTCGTGCAGTTTGTCCACTGTATCGTTCATTTGAGCTGTATTGTATCATATTGTATGATTCACCTGTTTCACTCTTGTGAAGATTTGTTTGACTGCTTCCAACCGATTATGTCATCGTGTAAATCGTCATTTTCACCTATTAACAGCTTCAGCAGTCATGTTTTGAACTGGTTTTCTTGAAAGAAGTTGGATTGAAGCTTTGAGGTAACGATAATCGNTTCTTGACAGCAGTCATGTGAATTGATAATTCGCTTAGTTTGGATTGCTGAGAGCGTATCGCTAAGTCATTGCTAACATCACCGATAGTAATGGAAAAAGACGCAGAACGAAATGTGAATTGTCGTTCATTGAAGTAATCGTTTGTATGATACTTGTTTCTATCGAGTTATGTATCTGTTTATTTTGTATTTGAACTGTATGATAGTATTTTATTGTTTGTTGATGCGTTCCAATAGGTGCGATAGTCGGTTTTTATTCGATGACATCGCGAACGGTTTTGTATTGTTATCATTTCACTGTATATTGTTACTTATTTATTGGTCAATTCAACTGCATACCTGTAGTATAGAGTTATTTGTTTGGCACTGTTTTTGCACGTGTATCATCAGTTAATTATTATTTGTTGTTATTACTATTGTTGTTATTGTTGTTACTATTGCTGATAACAGTTAATCTCACATTCATCAGATAACACTTTAAAATAACGATTATTTCCCGATGTTATTTGTTTATTTATTTGTTTGTTTATGATGTAATTTTGTTTTGTGCTGAATAATGATACAACAGTAGGAATTCACAAGTGAATGATGAATATTGTTGTATTAATCTCGTTTATATCATCAGTTGCACACGATTTCGTCATTGTTGTGATGTTTGTTTTTTATTTGTTGCAAGTTGATGTCGCATTCATCTCCTTTCAATTCCTTGTTGGTTGGTTGGTTGGTTTGTCTGTTCTGCTATTCAAGCAGCTTTGCATAGCTCGAATAAAATCCTACAATAATTCCTCCTTGCAAACATCCTATTTGGTATGGTCGTTTCAGTGCAGCAAAGTCGTACGTGTTCATTATTCATTCCTAAGGCTATCATTTGCGATTTTTGTTGAGATCNGCCCAACATTTCACCATTAATTATCCAATAGTTCATTACAATCAGTCCTAATCATGAAGAATTATCAACAATATTTCGAAACTGAAAAATCCTTAATTATGGTACTCGACTTTACCCAAACTACCCACAGATAATACGGATGATCATTTTGATGCTATTTATTACGGGTCTATTTGCGTATATCGCTACAACTGAGAAAGAGGTCGTTTTAACTTTTTTGTTTTGTTGTTATTACTGACAGCGTGAGATTGAATTTATTCGCACATTGAAAAGCTGGCTGATTATATAGTTCCTTGTTAGTTGAATGTGTAATTTTATTGGGACAATACAAAACCTTGAATTGATTTAAGGAAGTGGTTTAGCGCATAGACTGAGTGACACATTGTGTAAACATTGATGATAAACACGTATAATTAATACGAATGTAATAATTATGTGTTAGTTCCATTGAATGAACCTATTAAAGTTATAATAATAGAGGTGACCTGAACGCGTCGAAGGTCAGGTAGTGCCTATTGCCTCACTTCAGAAACACCTATTTCCGACTGTACATATTCAACACGATTAATGATAATGGAACACGAGCCATTCGAAATGTCCGTCTGATGTTTGCGCTTATTGGCAGTAACGATGAGAGGAACGCTTCAGTGAACGCCATTCATTCCACCCAACTGCAAAACAAACCACAATACAAATCGTGGCGATGCACTCATCATTTTCATATTATTTACTCATTCTATTGGTGCATTTTGTGAGATACTCAACTTAAGTTTCGATGGATTTTATAAGTGTTTTGCACTGCATATTTACAAGAGCGCTCAGATCGTTTACATCATTCAAGCATAATTGTTTGTTGAATCGCAGTAAGGCAGCTCTNCTCAAAACTTAAGGATTCATTCGAACGATCTTTAATATAATATTTCAAAGAAGGATGTGTCTCACTGATCAGACAACCCATCCATCCATCGCAGTTGATCATACTTACTATTAGTGTTCCTTTTGGTGAACTGTTCTGCAGAAGCGCTGTGTTTTGGTATTGCTTACGAATAGCAATTGCAAATAATGCTTTCATAAATAATCAATAAAATGGAACGAATAATTTCAGTAACAGACTTTTACTATTTGCTTAAAGTTTTTGAACACACATCTTTTTATCGTTGATCCAATCCAATAATCCATTGCAGTGTTTGATCTTAATTGTTCATAGATCAGTGGTGTTGCATTGCAAATATGTACAATATTGAAGGGATAAGAAATATGATCGATTACGTATTAAATATACGCTAACTGATAATGATCAAAAAATCGATCCATCAATCACATTCGTTTCACACACGTCATATAGCTGAATGCACACAGATCAAAAAAACATTTGCGTAGAAGAGAGATTTGATGCATGATCATCCGTATGATTCGATGCATATGTATGGTGATGATTGCTGTTCTTAGTTTTATTATTATGGTAATTATTATGATGCTAGAAATAGCAGTAGCGTGTCGATGAGCAGTGCTAATGACTGAGATGAAAGGGTGACTAGTCAACGACAGCATGCTAGCTGCAATACCGTTCCGAGTTGACCCTCAAACGTTCGACGTGCACTAAGATGGATGAGGTACGTCGCAGAAAGGTTCATTCGTTTGCTTAGTGCGTGATATCGACGTATTTATTAATGCAGATGCATATTTATGTGGCTGAATGATCCTACTCTTGGTTGAATAAATAGACGACAACGATGGCCTCGTCCATCCTCACGCTGTCTGCCATATATGCTCAGTGTAACCTAAACCTAACCCTTTTCACCTCATTTTAATCATATTCATCATCAATCATATTTTTATTATTATTATTATTATTGACCATCTTCCTTTCTTCTTCTTTCCCATCTATTGAACATTATATTATAATACCTCTTGGATATTCAAGCGGTTTTTCGCGGAAATCACATCAGCAGCTTTAGTTATAACGAGGCAATAAACCATTTCCACGATATTACAATAACTACAGAAGTTGTCGTAAGAATCGTTTCATTTCCTTGCGTTACACATCACTGTATCATTGAACATCTCCTTTAATGATAGCAATGATAGTAATAATATCAGCACTACCTTTAGATTGTATTTGTCAGTTAATGTGTCACATATTGTATTGTTTGTTAGAGCTGTCGTATTATTTGTATTAGATATTGATGAGTAAATTCTAATCAGTTGTTTGCATTCACACTGTTTTCATATTTGTTTGGAATAGCCAATTTTTTGATATTATGTTTATTATTACTGTTAGTATTATTATGTTATTATTATTGCTGTTATTATTATTAATATTATTATTAGTAATAAGCCATAATAATTGTTTCAAAAACGTACCTTATTGAGAAACAAACGAATTTTCGAATGCCTCAATGAAAATTTAGAAACGAATGGAAATAAGGTATTATATAAATGCTTGCTGATTATCGGTTTGTAATTAATGTTCACTATTTTTTACTTCCACTTGATTGCAGTGTCCGATTTGCTGCATCACCATACTTATTTCATACGTCCTTTGCTTTTTATAGAAAATTAGAGAGAGTGGATTGATATATCTATTGTATTGATG